CTAGCGTCTGCCAGCTTCAGCCAGCGTGCACCAGTGCTGGGACTAGAGAGTATGGGGAAGTAGTAGGGTCGAAAATACCTGGATTAGACGTGAAACTGCGGCAAGTGCAACCGCACCGCACAACTGCACAGAATTATGCAGTTTGATGTACGGCGTAGTGTGGTTTTACGGCGCGGTTGCACACGTCGCCATTTTACGACGTCTATACTCTCTTACTTACCCGTACTCTCTACTCCCGGTCGCTGGGCTGGCAGACGCTGGTAGACACCAGGTCGGTATCTATACTTTCCTAGCCGCTGATGCTCGGAACACTAGTGATCGCTGGTGGTAATGGTAGACGCTGCCGCAAAGTATAAACGCAGGCTCATATTATAGCCACTGATGATTGTCGTTACAATCCTCTAGTACAATCCTCACTTAACGCCACTAGTGGCAGTACACTTATGAGTTACTTAGTTTGTATTATTATATATGTATAAATATATGTGTAGAGATGATTTCAGAAAAATAAGGACCACAATCTCAAATAGGTTGAACATCTGAAAAAGCTCACCTAAGGAGACTGAAGATACGAAACACAGCATCAGTACCCATAGTATAAGAAAACCTTGAGAGCTAAGTGAAGAAAAGAATAGAAGGCTGGGTGAACCGCATATTGCGAACACGTTCGAAAATATCCGAGCTAAACGAATTTCAGATTAGTGCAAAGTTTGAAAATTTTTTTATTTTTCAACTTTCTTCTTCGTCATCGTATTTGTTATTACGCGAAATGTACATTGCATAGTAAGTGTTACAGCATATCCATAAACGAGACGGCGTATGAATGATGTGAACTGGGGTCAAATCAGGTTGAGGAGAGTCGCCCCCTCGGCACGCCACTCCGCAAAAGGGGGGTGCTCATATGACCTCTCCTCTACTCGACTATTCTGCTGAACTTGCCCACTTGAATCGGCATAATTTTGAATGCGGTCCAGTTCCAGATGCGTCCCGTTGTAACGTCGCAGTGCGATATCTCACCCCGCACAACCTTCTCCGTAGCATGAACATTTGAGATTGTAAGTTACTCCGGAGACACCACTTTTCAAAACTATAGGGGAGATTCGTAATTACTCGGGAGCTCCCAAGAGATAGGTACTGCAGCGGCCACGAATTAGGTGTTACGGCCCCGCCTAAAAATAATGATGAAAGTTCCTTGAGAGCGCAAATTTTCAACGTCTCTTGAATCTTGGGTAGAACGGGACCGAGGAAAAGAACCCGTGCTGGAAAGAAGAAGATTCCCTTTTTCGAAACACATCGTAATTCTCCGGAATAGTCCACTACTCCAATACTGAAAAAATCCGCCGTTGAGAACCTATTGCGGTGATGGGGAAAACGATCTTTTGCGCGAAGGTTGCCACCCTTCTGGAGGCCATAACTTTTTCATAAGGCTTGGGAAGTAGTAGGAACTGTCGTATTGGCGCTTCTCAATATGCATAGAGATTCTGCTTTAGTTCAATTACCTAGCGGAAAACGCTACTGCAAATTGGAAGAGTGTAGTTCCTTAAGCTGTCAGGGTGAGCATTTCTATTTCATTTCCCACTTTCGACAGCTAAAATTAACTGCTGCTATTCATAGTACCGATTAGAAGTTCCAGCAGTGGTTTATCAAACTATGGTGCGATCTATTACCAACTAGAGCAGACCCCTGCTGGGGATTCCAGACTAAAACGTTGACCCGGTTTCCAACAACGCGTGACCGCTGCCCCACAGTTCGTACACTCGTCACCAGTGATGAATGTCGACTTCTCTACGACGAGTCGATACGACTCGTACTTACTTATCAGTCGTTAGTGGGAGTCACGTGTGAACAACACCTGGTGCCTGATATGTACGTAGTAAAAAAAGCACGAAATACTCACCCGATGCGAGATAAACAAATAGTAGGTAGACGATTACTAATGCAGAAGCGATAAAAACAAGGCTTTGTAGTAGAACTGAACTAAAATCACCGACAGTCACGAAGGCGTTGACCTAAAAGTGTTACCGTTTTACCCTTTACAACTAGAGTAACCATAGTGAAGTTCCAGATATCACTGATTAAGATGAAGTATGAATGTTCCAGAACAGCCGAGGATGAAGAGAGTCTGATTTCATTACACTTCGTGAAAGCCAAGCAATAATCGAAAATGGTTCAAAACAATTTCTTGACTTCTAGTCGTGGGTAGTAGGGTCCAAATGAGGTACTTGCAGAAGGTAATGTTCATAGCAGTGAAGGAAATAGTCAAAGATGTGGAAACGCACTAAATAACCCCCCCCCTCTATAGTTTCGTTCTCACAAGAATTAGAGGATCAGCTGATGTTACAAGTGCCTGTTTTCGTAACCCTGGACGAGTCTATTATCACTGTTCTATTCCCAGGGATGGAAAGCTCGGTTGGCATGGGCGTAGGCTGATCCTGGATTTGATCCCTTGGCCTAATTGTAAGGGGTGGTAAGAGGTGTCATTCACTATTACCCCACCTCCTCTTATCGCTCTATACGAGCTGTTTATTTAGGCTTCCAAAAGTGAACAACTTGGTTCTGTTTTGATATGGTAGCGCCGCAGTTGGCTGTGTGGCGTGTCTGCGGCATAGAATGCCCCGGAAGCGGAGTACGGAGGAGTTAGCCTATTTCGCGACCGTAGAGCTTGATCCCGCACATGCCGAGGATGCACCTCGGCGCTACGCTTTTGTCTGAAGCTTCGGAAGGGCCTTGGAGTACAAGCGAGGTTAGTAAGTAAAATGTTCATGGTCTCACCTGTTTAGAGAAGCCAGATAGGGCTTTGTGGAAAAATATACTGAAAGCAAGGCAGGAAATAAGTGCCACAATACAAGCCAAACCAGTGATCGTTGCAGATACGGGAGACTTCATCTTCTGAATGCAGGAAAGTACAAGATTCAAGGAGCAGAGATGAGCTGGGCTTTCAGGTACATATGTGTAGCGAAGCGATAGTACTTGAATTTATTTAAGGGTTTGATCACTGAACTCGCTGTGCAACCAATTCGCTACTGAAGCGGAATAAACTGGTAAATTTGACATTTTTGATTTAACTCTCTAGACTGAGGAAGGGAGGACTAATCACTAGCTATCGTCAAAGCAAGAAACTTCATAAACATGTTTTTACCGATTTCTGGCGTAAATTGTAAAGAAGTACATATTGGGTTGTCCCAGAGTAATGGCCTTTTTTTCACTCGAAATTTCGGCTGAACATGGGAAATTTTGCCATTGATTTTAGAAAGATTTCGTAGAAAGTTCCCCGCTCTACAAGATAGTCCTCTTAGTTTTTTCGAAGATTCTGTTCCCACTAATATTTTGAGTACTCAAACTGGAGTGTCAGGTCAACGAAATTGAGCATTTTCGACAGGTTCCTTTTCCACGTCTGATTGAAAAAGTGAAACAGCACAGGCCTGTTTGCAGAGTATACAGCCAGAAGCTAGTCTCTCAGAAATGCTCACAGCGGTTTGATAGATTCAATAAAATTGATTTCAACCTCATAGACAGGCATCGAACCTAACATCCTACTGAGTCCAACTAAGTTATTACTATATCACCTTGCTCACGGAGATTCATGCTAAAGAAAGGAGCTCAGAAATTCTTTTTGAAACTTGGGATGGGTTCTTCAGACAGTCGATCCCTAAGGAGTTACATGCGGTGCAAATTTGCAAAGTCCAAAAGCCCAACGGTCAATTGCCTTAACTTAATGCAGTTCTAAGAAGCAACGTCCCTGCTCCTAGGCAGCGTTCAGACTTCGCGACGGCAGCTCTTCGGTCGCGTGTTCGACGCGATCGATCGCTAATGGTTTCGATCGGCAAAAGCATGCGCGATTGCCGCTGTTGTGATGTCTGAACGCTGCCTTACATTACAGAAGTTTCGAGCTTCTTCTACAATTCGGGAGCCTACACCAGTTCAAAAGTTGTCCTCAAAATCGCACCTGTGTCGACCCTAAACTCCATTTCATGGAAACAAAAATTGACATAACAAAAATCAAAAAATAGTAGGGAGGTTACCACAGTTGTGGAGCTGAAAATTACCTATCGAACAGCATAGAAAACATTGGAAACAATTCTCGCCATTCATATAAAAATTCTTGTAGGAAAAAAACCATTACTTATGGGCCAATCCAATAGTAGGGGGATAGTAGGGGTATCGAAGATTGATAGTGTCTGGGAATTGAGCCACGAGATTGTAAATATCGGCTTAGTTTGTTATTGGAAACATTATCGAATGGCAAAACAATCTTAATGGATTATTGCACAGCCAGTGAAAGGTCGAACGAATCATTTACTCACATTTATTTCCGGTTTTCTTTCGTCCATTTCGTGGAGGAGGCGAGCTTCAGCATGTTTTGTCATTTACAAGGTGATAGTAACACGGGCACCAATAAGCTTTGTGCCACCCATAGGGTCATAGTGGTGGCATGGTGTCGTGGTTGAGACAACAGCACCACCCACGACGATCGATAGTGAGTGGCAAGGCCAACGAACATCCATCTCATGTCGTTCTTGCACCGTTCACAGAATGAATCTTCAACTGGAAAGTGAAATCATTCATTCAAATGGCATTGTGCAGCTGCGGAAAAAAACTTTCAACAGCCAGAAAACCGGAATTTTTTATAAAATTATTACTTGATTTCCCTTGACTTGTCCACCGAAATATTGCGTTCATATATAGATAAGGTAGGCCTAG